GTTCGTGCTGCAGCTGCTGCTGCTGCTGCAGCAGCAAACAGCATGGGGTGTATCCTTCCCCCCCTCACTGCAGCAGCTGCAGCAGCAATGCATGCGCACCCCGAGGGCCCCCCGTTCTTTCCTGCTGCAGCAGCTGCAGCAGAAGAGGCCGCTGCTGCTGCAGCTGGAGGAGGCTGCTGCTGCAGCAGAAACAACAGCAAACACAAACAGCAGCAGCAGCAGCAGCAGCAGCAGCAGCAGCAGCAAGTGCATGCAGGCTGCTGGCGGAGTTCGTTGCTGCTGCAGCAGCAGCAGCAACACACACTGCCACATCCACAACCACAGTATGAGCAGCAGCAGCAACAGCAGCAGCAGCAGCAGCAGCAGTATGCTGCTGCCTGAAGGGGAAGAGGGGGGTGTTTCATGGGTGGGGTTGTGTGCTGCAGCAGCAGGCAGCAGCAGCAGCAGCAGCAGCAGAATGTCTGCTGTTGGCTGCCCCCGCAACCTGCTGCTGGCGTTGCGGGATAAGCGCCGCAAGACGGAGTGTATGTACAGCTGCGGGGGGGGAGCAGCAGCAGCAGCAGCAGCAGCAGCAGCAGCACGAGCAACCAGCTGGGGTTTAGATGCAGCATGCATGAGCCCATCAGCAGCAGCAGCAGCAGCAGCAGCAGCAGCAACAGCAACAGCAGCAGCATCCGGTGTATCTATAGAGTCATCTATACTAGCATCCCCCTCTTCACCCCCATCCCCCTCATCAGCAGCAGCAGCAGCAGCAGCAGCAGCAACAGCAGCAGCAGCAGCAGCAGCAACATCATCAGCAGCAGCAGCAACAGCAGCAGCAGCAGCAGCTTTTCCTGCTTCTCTTTGGCTTAGTGCTGCTGTGAATTTTGTAAGACAAATAAATGTGTGGGGTCACCAGGAGAGAGAAGAAACGGAGACAGCAGCACGAGATACAGCAGCAGCAGCAGCAGCAGCAGCAGCAGCAGATACTGCAGCAGCAGATGCAGCAGCAAGAGACACAGCCCTTGCTGCTGCACCCCACACACAGCATATACTCGCGGACCCCTCTCCTGTCTACCTTATACGATTCATACATACTGGTAATCTATATTTATATTTTTCTTTGTCTTTGTCTTTATATTTATATTTATATTTTTCTTTGTCTTTGTCTTTGTCTTTATATTTTTCCTTGTCTTTGTCTTTATATTTATATTTATCTTTGTCTTTGTATTTATCTTTGTCTTTTTTTTTGTCTTTGTCTTTGTCTTTGTCTTTGTCTTTATATGGATATGTATATGCATAGAGAGAAAGAAGAAAGAAAGAAAGAAAGAGAGAGATAGTCTAGGGGCTCTTGTCTCCTTTCTGTCTCCTTTTTTGTCTCCTTTTTTGTCCCCTTTTTTGTCTCCTTTTTTGTCTCCTTTTTTGTCTCCTTTTTCTCCTTTTTTGTTTTATTTTATTTTTTATTTCCATATCTTTTTTTGTTTTCTTTTTGTCTCCTTTTTGTCTCCTTTTTTTCTGGTTGTCTCCTTTTGTTGTTTTCTGTCTCTTCTTCTGTCTCCTCTTGCTGCTACCTGTCTCCTTTTCTGTTTATATAAACCTTTATAATAATTATATTTATTTTTATTTTATTAATAGACAAAATAAACCCAAAAAACAAAAATAAATAAATAAATTAAATAAACAAACAAACAAACAAATAAAACAAATAAGCAAACAAACAAACAAAATAAACAAATAAACAAAAGTATATACACACACACACACACACATACACACACACACACATATATATATATATATATATATATATATATATATATATATATATAT